TGGTTGGGATGTACCTTGAACAGTTCCCAGGTGATCCAACTCCTTCCGGTCCTACCGGTCCTATCCCTTCTGCCGAAACTGTCCCCAAAAACGCCTGTCACTTCACCACAGCCGCGCTCAACTCATCCAGCGCCCAGCGCCGCGGCCGCTCCGGCGCAACCTCGGCCTCCACTACGGAGGCACCACATCGACCGTCGTCCGTCGAAAATCCAACCTGCCAAGAAGCTGCCAAGGCTTGGCCAAGGTCCGTCAAGGCACGTCACGAGATGCTGAATTAGTCTTCCCTGATCTGCTTCTAATTGCTTCTGTGTTAGCCGTGGGCCCGAGTCTTACCAGTAGTGCGGCTGTGTCAGCGGAACCTCGGGAGCTTGTCGCAACGCCATGGACAATCTTCTTTGTGGACCTCCTGGTCTTACTATTTCTGATTCTACCCGTGCCCATGTGGCTTCCCGCCTCAGTGGTGGGATTTGCGGTTGGATTGGGATGATTGGCAGATGCCTCCGTGGCAATCTCAAGGAGTTGTTTCCACTAGCGATGATGCCTGGTGTGGATGGATTTCGGGCGGGGATCCAGCTGGCATGGGATGAATTTTCTAGGATGAGACACAGTTTGATTGACCCGCTGCACTTTTTGCTATTCACTCTGTTTGGTGCCGGCTTGCTTCCGCTACCAGCGGCAAACTGCCAGTCCTTGCTGAGTTTGGAAGCTCACATCTTTACAAATTGGCACTTGCAGTCCTGGAGTTGTTTTCCTAATGGCTTGCATCACTTGCTTGTTGTTCGTTGTGGACTCTTAGCAACCTTCAGCGGCAAAAGGCGAAGGGGCTTTGAAACTAACATTTCGGGATGCGGCAGGCTGCTCGGGAGATCGTGCTGCGGATGGCTTGGCTCCGGGCAAACTTTCCAATCCCAAACGAGAACAAGGAGTAAAGATGTGCTTGTGACTTCTGGTGTGGCTCAGGGCATAAAGCAAAGATGCAACGTTGCGCGGTGACTCAATGGCCCACCCGCTGTCTGCTTCTTGCCAAAAGTTTGATCGGTTTGAATCCAACGGCTGCCTTTTTTCCATGTGCCGGGCATGCACAAAGTGTCAGGTGCTTGCAGAGACGGATTTGCAGGTGATCGGTTTCTGTTTTGATTTTGTTGGTCCAGTGTCTAGGCAACAACCCTAGCACACTGTATTGATCTTGTCCATGACATACACTGTCTGAACAGATGGCACAATCTGTTGTCAAAGTCGATGTTCCCGCGTTCAGCGGACCTTGTTGGAAGTTCGGTGGAGGTAATCTTCTCCACCTGTCTGGTGATGTCTGCTTCGCCGGCCCTTGGCCTTGTTTTAGCCAATTCGGTTCTGACCATCTGCGTCCGAGCCAATTGACGTGGAGACCCCTCCGCAGCGCGCAATATACTTGCTTCTGTGTTTCCAACATTTTTCCAACATTTTTCCAACATTGTCTAACTAGTTTCCTTTCTGCTTTCTCTTGTCTTCTACTTGTCCTACTTGTTGATGTTTTTTGGTATTGAAATTAGGATTGTGTACCCAAGAAGGGTTTTGGCTTCAAACCATCTACCATCACAGCATTCAATCAGGGAGCTGTATTACCGGTTGCACTTATCCAAAAGACGTCTCAAGTGTCCAATGCCCAACTTCCAAATGAACCCCTACAAGGTGAGGGCGTTAAGTCGGGCATGCCCATCTAAAGTCAAGCATCCCCATGGGCACAGCTCAAACGCGCAAAGTCAGAACATATCAAAACACCATGGGCACACGTTTTGCAGGGACCTTTTCGGAATAGGTTGATTTCATCGGATTCTTTGCGCACACTGTAGTAAATCTCAATATTGTAGTATATTTTAGGAGATTCGAAAAGGAGAATACAATGGCACAACGTGGGTAACAAAGTGTACACATCCCTAAAGCTAAATGTTGGACCCAATGGCACAGCACGTTTGACACGTGAGTTTGCACCGGCAAATGCAATGACACACCGTGGGTAAACAGTATCATACATTCCACAACTGCGCGGGGTAAATATATGGGAAAATATATGTCGCGCGAGGTCCCCGCGAGGGTTGGCCCGCCCAACCCATCCGTGCAACAGCAAAGAAACTGAAAACGAACAGCAAACAGGTTCATACACTGCACATGTGTTGGTTCTGACAGGTTCTGAGTAGTGCCACTTTTTGAAATGTCGGCAATGAATGTCAAGAATGTCAAAACCTGTAGGCAGGTAAATCTTGAAATCAGATTTGCACACACCAATATCTTCCCAAATCCCTCGGGGACATGCAAAAAAAGCAATCACTCCCAACAACTCCTAAAATGAAAGTCGTACAAGAAATATCCAAAACACAACAGGCACACGATTTCCGGACGACTTTAGACAAGCCCGGACGACTTAACACAATGACCTAGTACCCTGCTCATGCTTTGAAATTTCAAATCAATTACATGTGAGAGCCCGAGTATGATTGCAAATGATATTGACCAACCAAACACCTTGTTCCCGGCTCAATGTGAACAACGTTCCCCAAGAGCCTTCGACAGAATGTTGCAGCCAGCAGCGCAATGGAGCTGCAGTCCATACCATCCATCTCGGCGTTTCTCAAGGCGCCATCTCCAGGTTTCTCTCGCCAGGTGTCCAGTTGAACTGCAAGCCGTTTCATGTAATTTCCACTTCTGAATGCCAGTGAGTTTTTGACCTCGCCATATATTTTTGGGCACCTAGGTTATTCCTTGAGTTATTCCATCATAAACTGGATGACTCGTCACAGTTAATGACAATTCCTAAGCTGGAAATGTTGACAATGTTGGCCTGCGAGCACCGTGGCTGCGGTTGCATGAAAACAGCTGCTCAAGTTCGATTGCTGGCAACCACTTGGAGGATCATCCCACTTAGCAATGGCTAGTTACACTTAGTAAGTACAGTCATGTGTATATATATATATATATACGTGTATATATATAATATATCATATATCCCAGTCATCAATGGGATAAAGCCAGTTCGCAATTATGACTGAAGCCGCTAAAACGTTGCCAATGGAGGTGCCAAAAAAAGCATCTGCAGCCCACTTCTCCATCTTCCGGGCTGCTCTATCAGGGCGGCTCGCGCAGGGTTGCGCTTAAAAAAATCAGACCTGAACACTATGTATGAAGCCCCAAAAAACCTATGAATTGAATGAATGACGGAAATATCGGAAATTCTGAGATGAACCAACGTCAACACCTTCGTTCGGCAGCTTACATGCTTGGAAGTGAAGACACGAACGAAACCCTGGTGATTGCTACGAAATCATTGGCACCAGAAAGTCCAAACTGTCGGAGAATTCTCCAAAGATGGCCCGGCCTACCTCTCTGTTTGAATCTCCAAATTTCCTCGTAGGTCCATCAAGTTGCAGCAGCTGCCTACGTCTACCAGAAATTCAAGAAAAATGAAAAAAAAAAAAAGGAGGTTGTGCCATTTTCCCCATGAAGATTGCCAGTGGTACAAACCATTACAAACCCATCCTGACTCTTTCCCGACTTCCTATGACCAAAGACTTCCTGGTGCCCATCAACGGTACACATCGCACCGGCAACGCGTCGTTTGGAACAACGCTGTGGACGCAGCTGGCTCTGTGCCACCAAGTTCACTGGGTCTTCATCGCATTTCATCGCCAATGTTTAAATTACTGCCAAGTAATTTGAAGACAGCTTTGCAAGATGTTGGGCGTTTCAAACCAAACAGGGTGACTTATTGACGTGGCAGTGACGGCTGCTGCCATGCTCTATGCCACTCAGCACACGCCTGCAGTCGTCAACGGTGTCCAAACGGTGACAGCTGGTGGTTGAGCCGCGATGCAAAAAGACATTGACACTTTCAGGACGATGTCAATCAGCCTCTATATGGTCAAAGTCAGGTCGCATGCTTAATTCAATCAGGGATCAACACCTCTTGCAGTATGAAATATGTATGTCCAAGCTTGAGGACCAAGAAAACATCAAGTGCATCCAAGTGCTTCTTTTGATCTTTCAACAGACAAACCAACTTGATTTATTGTGCTCAATGGTGCTCACTCACTATTTTGGGACCAACCCAAAAACCACAGTTTCAAGCCGCCTATGATGCGCGGCTCTCGAACTCGTTCATGCTCAAAAACCTCGGGGTTTTCAACTTGGGTACCATCTGGTTATCAAACACGGCTGGGAAAATCATCCAGGTCCGTGAAGTGGTAGAATGACGAATCTTCGCGGACGCCTATGTTGTTTCGTCACGGACAGACTCCACAAAAATTGTGTGGTGTCCTCAGAAAAATGACCGAAATCTGCGGTCGCCTGTGCCTAAAATTTTCACCCATAACTTCATTTGAGTGCGTTTCATTCTCCAATGACTCTAATGCATCAAACAGGAAAGACTGAAAGACCTGATAAAAGTGAGATTTGATTGAAGTGCCATCCCCTTTGCTGATTCAATGTTTACATATTTTTACCATTTGAGTAGTATCAAGTATCACCTCCAAGCGGCTCGTCCATGGCGGATTTGATGGCATTTTCGATCTCAGGAGTAATCTGCTTCTTCTCCATAATTTCCTGACTCTGGAAGATCTGGAAGTGACAAGATGCGCCAAATGGTGATGTTTCATGATGTTTCGATTTAAAGCCGGCATTGATTACACTCACATGGCTGTTCTTACTGTGCTAATGACAAGGATCTTTTCTGCAACAGCCTGGCCTGTGAAGTGTGGTTTTGAAGCCATTCAAAACCAAGCAAAACTCTTGGGTTAAGAGCAACGGCAATATCCATGGAACTCACTGCTCTTTGGCGATGTTGGCCCAAATAGAAGGATATGGTCTGAAAGTGTTTGAAGATATCAATGTTCAGAATCATTTCCCCAAGGCTGATCATCTCTTGTCAAGCGAATTTCCAACTCCCATGCCTAGACGCAATTCCTCAGGTGATCATTGCTCCTCATCATCATCATCATCATCATCATCATCATGCCTAGTCACTGGCAAAGTCATGTTTTCGACCCACTTTCAATTCCTGACTTTCGATCATCCAGGTCATTTTTTCTCCCCCATCCGGCCTTCAGCACATCGCCACGGGTGTCCTTGAAGTGCTTCAACCAGAGTGCTTCAAAACGAAGAATCTCCTTGGTAGCCACCTGAGATCAATCCGGGGCACCTGAACACCACCCAAAATGATGGAAATCAGCAAAGATCAGCCAAAGTAAGTTCAAAGTATGATCCAATATGGCTATTGTAATAGGCAAATGGAGTTTTGGGTTTTTTTTGAAGACTCTAAGACATTGGAGTCTTAGGGCACCCCATTTTTGGAGATGGGCTTGTGGCTTTGCCTGGAAGCGGAATGGAGGTTTAACGCGAATCAATCGGTGTGTATCATCTACCAAAGCTCACGATAGGGGGTTCTCGCGCGCACGCAACACGAGTAGGCCAACGTTCAAGTCAAACTGTAAAAATATAGGCTATGGGTCAAATGATTGGCCCAAGATTACACAGAAATGACCAACATGTGCGACATGAGCCACAGCCGCGAGCCTGCCTTGTCTAGGTATCCACGGGTGCCAGCCCACAGAGACACAATGATCTCGGCTGTGGTCATGGGCACGAACCTGCTCCGACGCATCCATCGTTGGATTAACCAAACATGAGATCTTCACCAACAAAAATACAACATGTCAGTTGGGGGGGATAGTGTATAATCGAAAAATGGAGATCCAGCCATCAATTTATGAAGGTTTAACCTATTATAGGGTTAGTTTTGTTGGATTTGTTTCCAGGAAACCATGGATTTTACGTCCAAATTTCTTGGGGGTTCCTGAGGACCCACAGGTTACGAGACGGTTGGTCTTGGGACATCAAATCATTGACTTGATCATCATGGTCCAAGAGAGGTTGGCAAAGTTGGTGCTAAAGACTCTGGAATTCCTGAGTCGCCTTTCCCAGAGCTGCGAGAATGTCACACCAAATAGCAGGCTAGCAAGAAAGACCATGCTGCCAAGCCACTGCTTCTGCTTCAACAATTCGGTCAAAATGCCGCCTGCACTCCGGTGAGTCGTGAAGTTTGTTTTGATTTCAGGTGGTTCTCTTGAAACTGAATTTTCCCCCTTTGTTTTAGTTGTTTCTACATAGTGCCATCCCTTTCAACTCTGCCCCAGACCAGTAAATTTCCGGCCAAGCTGAACTCCCATCGAAATTGCCCTATGCTCAATTCATTTCCAAAATTATTCACCATGACCATCACCATCATCCTTGAGATGAGGATCCACTGCCGGTGGCCTCTGAGCAGCTGGTGCTGGGTGGCAGCATCCAAATCGGAGCCAAACTGCGCAAAGGCAGCCACCTGCAGCGGTTCCAAGGTTGGTCATCGCATGATTCTGCGCCAGAAACACAATAACAGCATGGCCAGATGAATGTGGTGTCATGGCAAAGACGAAGAGAAAGAATCTTGCTGCGGTATTTGGTTTTGATCCAAGGCCATCTCCCATTTTTGAAAAAGAAGCTGCCACTGGCTCGTTCACCGAGATCACAAGGAGGTATGAACAACCACAGGTGGCCGTCCAAACGACGGACCAACGCAAAAAGATGGGATGATCAAAGTGATGGTCACCATCATTCCCAAAATCCGCGGGTCCCAAGTGAAACCAAACTCGGGTCAGGTGATTTGGCTATGGATCCCAAAATTGCTGGTGTACCGCTGGATGTTCAACTCTCTCCATCTGGTTCTCCCAGCCATGGATCATTGACTTTTGGATAGTAATCTCCCCAGTTGATGATGATTACCCTCTGGTAAACTAACATAACTAGTTTAAACATGTTTTAACATAGCGTTCAGCCGTTCTTCAACCCATTTCCCCAGGTTGATATCCCACAATCTTCATCCCATGGCATCCTCACGGTGGGTCGCCTCACGGTACTGGGCCAATTCCAGCTTCAAGGTGCCAGCCACCTGGAAAAAAGCGATCCAATGTTTGGACATATGTCATGCTCTATCTATTTATCTATCTATCTATCTATCTATTTATCTATCTATCTATCTATCTATCTATCTATATACATATGAATATGTATTATCATCCTGGAGTAGATAGAATATGAAAATGTAACAAAACTCATCATTAAAGTGTTTGTATATACTGTATATATATATATAAATATATGTTTGAAAATTCCATCTCTACTGCAGGAGGACTATAGACACGCAGGTAGTCATAGTTTGTTTGGCCAAAATCCCGGTCTTGTGGTCAAATCCAGAGTGCCTTTCCTGAGCTCATCAAATAAGAGGCACATCATATCTGCTCCAGTTTGGTTAAAACCAATTGTGTTGGTGAAATTAAATCCAGTAATATGAATGTGTCTACCTTCCCTTCCCTTACCTTCCGTTGAATTACATAACGTTATATTGTATTACATTAGATTGAGTTACATGCATACACAACATGCTTCTTGGCTTGATCCCTCTGCACCGCCTGCTTCATAGCCTTGATTTGTGCAGCACTGCCGACGCCTTAAACGCTTCCGTTGGCGATGGCGGGTCCCAACTACATCCTCATGGAGGACAGAAATATGGATTCGAATCAGAAAAGCGAGGACACCAAGCATCAGAATTTGGGGAAAAATGTATTATGAAATTATGAACACAAAAGAGTTGAGATTGGTAATCTACCAAACCAGAATTCATCAATCCATGCACCAGTGAAAACTTGGGGTGGCAACACCACTAGAAGGCTTTGGGGCCAGCGCTTCGCTGCAGTTATTTAATAATTGGTCTGTTCTTCCCATAATCGTGGAAAGAGGCGCTAAAGATTCCATCGACGGAGAATTAGGAGAATTAGGACCGTATGTCACATCCAATCAGGTCCAATCAGGTACTGGCATTGGCTGTCGGATGAGCAAACCTCTCAGATCTTCAAAGAAACGGATGGTCATCCTTCAGTGGTCATTCCTATGATTTCCTATGCACATAGGCAGCTCCCAAAGCAACCAGTGGTTCACTCTTTACAGCCTGGTAGCCTCAGTTTTGTTGGTTGATAGCCCAATTTCTATTGATGAATTCGCATTCTCTGATGTACTCAGTTACAATCCCTTCCGTCTTGCTAAATACCTCCCCACAAACTCCAGATGGTATTGAATTTGTCCATTTTGAAAGCCCTTCAGGGAAATTCACTTCATACAGGGAGTGCTCCATCTGGTCCGTCTTGTGAACACTTGAATCTCCATTTTAGGTATAGTTAAAACATGTTAAAACATGTTAAATCCCAGTTGTGTTGCTAAAATTCCCTTTTCTTGGCTGCACCTGCACATCCCGCAGTTGCAACCGAGCCGCGGCTCACGGAGAGACCGACATTCACCGCAGGGCGGATACCCTGACCGTTGCTGGGTTGGGCCCGGGCCCCGTGGTTGAAAGGAACCTCCAGAGGAAAGCCATAGGTCTTAAGCTTCAAATACATGGGCACACCTGCAAAAACGGTGCCATGTACTAGATATATACCAGATATAAATGAAATCCCATTCCCCTCACAATAAAGCCCCTCAAGTTGAATTCCATACATTCTCCATGGTTGGGCATGTTGATTTTTTGGGGGGACGGGCTCGGGCTTTACTAGTGACAAGTGAAAAAGCGGGGTATCAGGATGGCAAGAACCGTGCCTTGTAAAACAACTCCGTCTCCAAAAAGATCTGGCCATCTGTGATGGAAATCACCTCAGTGCAATGAACTCAAAAAACAGGAATTCCCCCAAAAAAATGTGATCATTAGAGCTGAATTACATCTTACCCTCTGGTAATTTAACATAGCTATTGAAAATGGCCATAGAAATAGTGGATTTTCCCATTAAAAATGGTGAACTTCCATAGCTATGTTAAATTACCAGAGGGTAAACTGCCAAAAAAAAAACGTCTCCAACCTCCGTCCAACTCCCAGGCTCCAGGGGCCCCAGGCATTGGTGGGGATGTAGGCACTCACATCACCTGCCTGTGTCTCGATGACCGGCAGCGCGGTCAACGAGCCACCACCATGGGTCTCCTGCATTGAGGGATTGAACGGTGATACGGTGATACAAAGGAAATATCACCGGGATATGTGTGTGTGTGTAAATGTGGTGTAAATATATATGTGTATATATATATATATGCAAACATAGGTGCTCTACATTGCATACCTTGCATACATTATATATACGAATATCTTACATACATATTATATAATACATACATTATATGACAAAGAATACAATGTAATGCAAGCCAAAGAAGAATGATTTACTATGAGATGAAATGGTGGTACCTTGTTTTCAGACAATCCCAGCTGGTTTTTTGGCCTCATTCATCTTCGCCGCACGCTCCAGCAGACGGGAGTGCAAGTAGAAGACATCACCTTGCGACGAAAATAACAATGGGGCCCTGTAATCCCAATCAATAATGCCACTTTTGTAAAGGTTACATATATCATATATATCATATATATATATATGTTACATATCATCCAATTCATCTCTGGTAGCCATCACTTTCTGAGAAAAACCCTGGGTCATCAAGAACTCGACTCGACTGTGGAGGGAACAAGCTTGATGTTGAATCCCCATGGACCAAAAAAAACAGAAAAAAACCATGGAATAAACATGGAATACCCATGAAATCCTATACCAGGGGCCATTAAATCACTATTAAATCACTATTAAATCACTATTAAATGGGAAAACACCATGATTTTTTTTCTTCCCAAAGCTTTTGATGCCGCCTGGATAGGCCTCTCGGCCAGGTGGCCGGCGCAACAGCAGCGACATCTGGCCTTAGAAGAGTCATTTTTGTCCCGCCAGTTTAATCAGATGGGATAGGGGTATTTTCATATAAATATACAAGAAATATCAAGAAATGCCTTTTTTTGCCAGCATAGCCAGTTTGACATCAGCTTTTCATCACTGTACAAACCTAGCTATCAAAAAACTCTGGGAAATCCCGTTGAAATATGGCTTCGCCTGCGACCATGACCAAAAAGTTGCTACCCAGCTGCGATATGCCACAGCTTGCTTGGACAGATCATCATAGAAGATGACCTGCGCAAGGAGCAAGTCTCAACAGGAAATTGTGGGGATACAAGCGGAAAACTACCGGATATCCAATGCTCTTAACTGTCCGAATTAGTGTTAAAGGGTACTGTGAGAAATCCCAGTAGCATGGGCCAAGCTTCTGTGAATGGTTACTGCACACACATCACGAAAGTAAAGATTGGGTGAAGGAAGCAGGGAGAGATGGACCAACCATCCTGGTGGTTGCTTCATCTACTGGGCGGCCCTGGCCGCATGTTTCCCGTTGTCGCGGAAGTACTCTGCCATGGCACAACCAGTGTAGGGCGCCAAGAACTGCAAGGGAGCCGCCTGGGAAATAAAAAACAGGAGAATTCTGTCGAAAAAAAACAATCCTCTAATAAAAAGTGTAAGATCGCGAGAAAAAAAGAGGAAATTTGATGAGATTTGTGACTCCATGACGATGATATTTCCAAATAAGGTATGCCAGGTATGCAAGGTACAAATTGAAATTTGGTGGACTTGAACTTGCAAAACCACTCGGATGATTTTTATGCACCGGCCAAGGCACGTCCGATGCAGTTGCAGCCACCACCGTGGTGTATTTCAAGCAGTCCTGGGGCATGTTGAAACGGCAGTTTCACCAGGATCAGTGTGTCACCAGGAGTCGATTCACGGAGTTCACTGCAGATTTCTGTGTGCTTTGTATTGAAGCACATCCATAAGAAATCGGAGCAAGCAGACATTGACACCTCACAAATCACCGCCATTCACTTGCTGGATAGGCACAGCGAAAACCAATGTCACTTCCGTTTTGCAACCCCTACTCGGCATTCCAACTCACACACATGGGTAGGCTGACAATCAGTTTACCCGCAATAGTCTTGGGGATATCCTTTAAGTATGGCCAAAAGGTCGAGACAAAAAAAAGTCGGATGGTGCAAGGATCGAAATATGGCCACCCGCTTGTGGGTGAAAACAGTTTCTTCACTTTCAGTTGGCATGCTAATAACTTTGTTTGTCATTGTCATATCATGTTGTGACCCATTCTTCAGGAGCACTTCAAAAAATAATATGGGTGCAAAATGGTATCTCATCTCATTTCTATGTACAAATATGCAACCATATATACATGTATCTATAATATATATATATATACGAACAAGTGTATACATATATATATATATTAATATATATTAATATATATATATATTGATATATATTCATGTCCATACTATCCCTTCAACTCCCCTGAGGCCCTGACATTCTTTCGCAAAATCTCGAAGAGCTGTGCTACAGTGGAGCGTTTTTGACCTGGTGTGGAAACTGCCATGGGAAACGTTGGGAAATTCACCTGTAAAAACTCAATTTCATCGTTGAGGACAGATTTCTTCTAAACTCTCAAAGCGATTTTGGTCTTGGAACGTTTTGAAACTAGAAAAAAAGTGTGTCTTGGTTTGTGTATAGGGGCTTGAAGGTTTCACGGTGACTTCCAGGATCTCCGAAAGTTCCCACCCACCACTGAGATGCCAGACCCACTGCCACGTAGATGCAGTAGAGATGCGCGGATTTGTCTGGCGAAGAATTGATGGCCTGCCGCATCCCGAGCATCTCCATTCACATTTCAGATGTCTCTATCTCTGGAGATGCTAAACAAGTACAAAGAGTATGGGAGAATATTAAATATTATGACACCACCTCACTGAACTGTATGTTCAGCATGTCCTCAAAGTAGTACTTGGATGTGCGGGACCCAGGAATTGTAAGTTGCGAATATACCCTATGAATTCTGAATGTATAACTGGCGAAAAGATCCCATTGAGAAATGGGTCGTAACCATCATATGCCATAGTGATGAATTGCCTACGGACTGACGGCCTTCTGGTTGAGGATGGTGTCAATGGCGATGGCCGTCTTGCCGGTCTGTCGATCACCGATGATCAACTCACGCTGCCCGCGGCCAATGGGAATCAAACTGTCCACTGCCTTCAAGCCTGTGGTCCTGACAAGCCCATTGCGCTGCCCTGTTTCGACCCGGAACATGGAGGAAAATGGCTGGGTATGTTACCTATTGGACCTATTGGACTCAAATGGGAAGAATTGGTTTGGGCCGGTATAACTGTATAATTGGTACTGTACTTTACCTGGTGGCTTTTGAAGTGGGCTGACCCCTCTATTAATCAACGAAGGAGTGTGAAAAGGACATCTATGGTCAAGGCTCCACCAGCAGATATGAATAGAGTCATTTGGTAAGCCACAAATGTATGCGTTGTGTGCCAGAAATGATCCAAAATCTGTGGTTCCATGGGTCTTGAATTTCGGCTCATACCCAAATCGTCTTCCCATTTTTATGTGATAATGGCGATCCTGGTTCAAACTTTTCATCAAGGGAAACTTAGGTACCCGTCGTCAACCATTGGCTTCCTCTTTCAAATTCACGGTGGAAGAAATGTTGCGCAGATTTTGCAGACACGGACCTATCCCCAACCCCCAAATCGCAGCCGGAGAGTCATGGGCTCATGCACACTCTGGCGAGGGATAATGCCAGGAGCCTTCACGCGAGGCGCCCGAAAATGCAGGAGAAAATGACAGGTTCGGGTGCTACCCCAGTAAATAACTGGGATACCTTTTAAAGCCATGGATGGTTGAATCCACATCAATTTTGGTTGATATAAACATGAAAAATGCCTAATATCATCTATATGCCATTGGCTGATATAACCATTTTTGGTACATGATATGTATATATATATATACATATATATATATACATATATATATACATTAATATATATACATTAATATATATTATATAATATATATATAACCTGTTTTAGTCATAGCAAGTTACAGCCCAGCCTTAAGCTCCACCCGTCTTCGGGTCTTCGTGTTGATGGGGCCAGCTCCATCGATGGGACTCCCCAGGGCATCCACCACACGGCCCAACCTGGTGCTGAGGCCATTCCCCACTTTCCGAGAAGTCACCAATGGGCACAACTCACCATGCAACCACTGGGTCTCCACACAACTCCTCACCAATGGGCACATCCACAATGGTACCTGTGCACTTCACGCTGTCGCCTGGCTGAAGATGACCCACAACCAACAAGGCAGGTCAGCAGAAATGGGGACAATGTGACCATGAAACAATTTAAAAAATTATCTTTTAAACCAGTTTAATCCAGTTTAAAACCAGTGGATCTTGGAGTACCCTGTTTTTGGACAAGCCCAAATGAAAAGAAACGTATTGAATTCATGTTTTTTCTCACTTCACAAAAGTTTTATCCCTTCATGTAGATGTGTGTAGAATATGGCTCAAGCATAGGCTACCAGTGAAGCCACACGATTGGTCATTAAACCCTTCAATTTGGGGCACCAATAATTTTGAGCTATAGTTGGTAACCCCTTGTAACCCCTTGTTTTTTGTTGGTTAAACGGTTAAACGGTTAAATCCCAATGGATTTTATGGTTAGACAGGCCGGCACCTTCCACAATGGCACGATCGTCACCGAAGACCACCACACCCACGTTGTCCGTCTCCTGAATTGATCATTGGAAACGTCTGGAAAATTCGCTGATCATCCCATGGCATGGGGCCCCTGAGCAAAAAAACGGATTGATCGATAGTTCCCCTAAAGGGCCGACCAAAAGGGAATGATGGTAAGTGCACTCTTCGCATCACTCTTCCCCAATCATGCTCTGAATCCAAGCTCACCCCTGAAATACCAATAAATACCAATAAATACATATAAATACATACCAATAAAATAACTTCATAACGTTCCATAACGTTCTCTTTCCTAAAAATATCATCCAAAACGCCAAGTGGACCCTGCATCCAAGTCGCCAAGTTCAAGGCCATGCCCTTCAGGCCGCTGGAGAATTCCACCATTTCACCGGCCTTCACACCTTTGAGTCCATAGATACGGGCAATGCCATCGCCCACGGACAGCACACGGCCCACCTCCTGAACGTCTGCCTGGTCCTGGATCGAAATCGGAAATATACCAAGGACATACCAAGGAGTCTTGGGCATAGGGAATAGACCACGACATTTTGTATCCAACAACTTGACCCATACCGGCCCATACCCCCATTTTAAGAGCAGAGATGAGATTCAAACAAACCAGAGGACTTGGGAAACAAGAAGACTTGGGATTCACCCAATCAATATTGGAATGTGGCCACCGATGTATGGGCTGAATGGCAATCCGTAAGCATTCGCACCATTCCAAAACCCCGTCTTTCCTCAGAAGGGTCTCATGTTTGAGAGAGATTTGTCCCCTTCCCAACTCCCAACTTCCCAACCTCCCACTGTTCGCAATGGCACCTTGAAGTTGGCGATGCGCTCGCTGAGGATCTTTGTCAGCTCTGCTGGGCTGACCTTGGCAGCACACCTGCGGCATGTGGCGCTCAAAACTGATTGTCTTTAACCATTCAACCATCCCAAAGTGAGGGTCAATGATTTTTCCATACATGTAGGATGACTAGCACTTCAAACTGATCGATGCAGTGCTTCAAGATACTTGTAGATAGTCAGATGATGTCAGATGATAATCGTTAAGCTGTGGATCAGCGCTAGTAAGCCTTTTACCTGGTTACCCACGTAAACCATGTTGGTGTCGTGCTTGCCCCTCATTTCAAATAAATCCCCTTTTCTCTTCTTGAACATCCCTGTAGATAATCATCCCCAAGTCATCCTTGGATAATTTGGCTGTATCTTCATGCCCAAACCATCCACCAAACTTGCCCCCAACAGCTTCCGGTGCCCATGGTTGGCCGGTTGGCCTTGCAGCCGACACGTGCAGTGCGCGCGCATTGATGGAGGACGTGCCGCTCGCCAGGGCCGGCAGCAACCGCGCGGCATGACGCGCGGCAGGACGGGCAGCGCGGAAGGCCATGCTGGGCCACCTGAAAATCAAGCAAGACCCCATGAGCCCATGGGGTGTTGGGCCCAAATTGATGGATGGATAGACTTGTTACACTTGTTCATGATGTGTGTACGTGTATGTATGTACAATATTACACTATATTGAATTGTACATCATTACATACAAAATTATGTCATGTGTATATATATATATACAGATACAGCCAAGAAGTGGTGATTAAATTCTGGACAGTGTAATGAGTTCTGATTTGTAACATAGGTATGAAACACTTGCAAAGTAATATGACCATCTGCATTCGGGACGGGAGTTGATTAAACATACAGGAAGCCCGGGAACAATATCACTGGATGTCACAAGTTCAGATGGAAGCAGAACCCAGATGGGAGAAAGTATGGAGCTTAAATCCCATCTGCGATTGCGTAAGGCAATATTAAGATTACATATATATATATATACACACATATGTGCAATGAGTATGTTTCTCCCTAAATTTGGTGCCAAACACACGATGAAGCTGGCAGAAGAAAACCTACATTTCTTTGAATGTCAGAAATAGTGGTGCCTGACACCAGCAGTCCTAGATGTGATGTTGCAAGGTATTTTTTTTAATACTCAGAATGCTTCCCTCCTAAACCTGCTGTAGACTCTCTAGTTGGCACTGGTTGAGTCGAGCGGATTACTAAGCAAATAAGACAGCCGCTGCGACCGCTGCGACTGCATTCCCTGAGGTGCGCACAGTCGAATCGTCGAATGCGCGGCGAACCCCAACACCTTGAGCCCACCCAGTAAAAAATTCTTTTGGTCGATGTGTATCCTGACATTTGGAGTTTCAGGATACCCAATGGGATCATATGGGATCCTGGTCCTAGTTTTTATGTCGATGTGTATTGATCCAAAGTATGCCCGCCAATTACCATATTTGTGAAGCCCAAACTCCGATTTGCCTGACAACGATATAAGCAAAATGAAGCCGCTTGACCGCCGGATTAAGCATGAAAAGAAACTAGTTCTGTACTGATGACGGTAAATCTCAACATCTATTTCTAACTGGGCTTCGGAATGGCTCTGATTTTGGCCTCTCTGAAGTTCATCGGAAGAAACACAAGGCCCTCATCAAGAATCACAGTCGAACTGCAGAAGGCTAGCAGCTACAACTGTTGGCGGTGCCAACTGCGCCTGCTTTTCACCTGTCTCTAAGAATGCCTGTACATGTCGGGATACCATAATTGGCATCCGTGTGAAAATGTTGATCGGACAAAATCAAACAGTTTGACCACTTGGTTCATCATTCAACCATATGGTCCTGGCTTCATCCCGAAAAAGTTCAACTACTCTCGGGATCTTCCTGCAAATTCAGCTACGAACTGAAACGGGCATGAAACGCAGCGCTGCTGTTCATCTCATCTGATTGCCTCGGCATCCATGGTTTGCTTAGGAAGGAAAAATGGGAATCATCCTAAATATACAGGAAGGTCCTTAAAATGTTCCCTTCAAACAATTCTTGGAGATCAATGTATTTTGGACTGAAAAAACGAATTGGATATCTCCTACTCTGAAAGTTGAGCTGTGGATTTGCTGGAACACCTCTCCAGGACTCTTTCTGGCATGGGTGTCTCTCTGATCCAAAAATATCTCAAAATCTCCAAAGAAAGGAAACAAGGAAACAACCATTAGACAAGACCATTGTACTTCACCAAGTCACACCCCAACATTAAGACAAACGCACTTGCGACTGGTGAAAAAAAATCTCACCTGGAAGATTGCGGCGTTGTTGACCCGATTTAAAATATTGGGACAGTTTCTGACATAAACCGCCCTGAGTCATTTAGGAAATGACCATGATGACCACCTCATTTGCGAGGTCCAAGCAGCACATGAGGCTGGCGGTTCCTCGCCATACCAATTAAACCAGCAGGTACCTCAGGGCGCCAAGCTGGGAACCTCAACCCGAAGTTCCAATGACTAGCTGAGGTCATTGGCTCATACTGATTCGTGGGTACAGGAATACAGGTCATAACAGGGAACTTGGCTGGTATAAATCCATCGATCCATCTACAAGCAGGAATTAACGGCGCAGCTTTGGAAGATAATTTGAGGTGTCTTGGAGCTTTGAACCAGACTCAATGATCTATTGAGATGCGTATGGTTGAAAATTGGGGCACCCACAAAAGTAGTCATGATTGAAATTACACCATCCATTTCTGGGTGAAACCTGGGTTCGTCGCTGGGTTCCCCCCACGGCAGAAGCGGCTGCCTTCGGTCTCATCCCAGAAGAGTTTCAAATTGGCACCGCGCAGACAGGCAGCACATTTGGCCTGACCGAGTCGCCGTCTGGCTGATGACTGGGAAAGATGGAAGGCGATAGGATTTTATAAACCAAATATGTACATATACATATAATATATATACATACATTTTATATATATATATAGTTTCGTATAATTATTGTGATGTCCGGTAGATGGTCCCTTAAATGGCGAGAAACAATCGCTGTGGGCAAAGGTTTGAGGCGGTCCGCTGTTCGAAAGACCCTAAAGTTTGCAAATATTCCACAGTTTCCGGGATCTTCCGGGTCGTGTCGGGCGCCAGTTCCGGCTCGGCCTTGCCCCAGCGTCTTGAAGGCGCTTTGGGTGCCTCGACATCCCAAAAAAACATTGCCTATTTCCGTGATCAGACCAGCCTGTATACAAATCATTACAAATCATTACAAATCACCCAGTGACAAATAGGTTCATAATTTAGTTGAAACACGATGATACACGCATGTCGATGACTGAAGGTTTTATAAGTCTGGTATGTCCAACCCAATGCTCTTTCCATTTTTGGATGAGGTTTGTGGCGGTGCGGATGGGTCAAGAAAGCATAGTGTGAGATGGCCATGATATCCATCCCCCAATTTTGGGTCCTTAATCATCTCAAGCCATACCTGCGATCATCAATCACCGGCCACCACTGTTTTAAAAATGGGCCACATACCATGGTCGATCTTACATATCCAGCATGTGTTTCAAATTGTTTTGAAGCTGCTTAGAAGACTAGCAAATAGTTCTGCCATCAAAAGTATCAAATGTACCAACATCAGCCCTTTGCGCCTCTGGCTCCCACTCCCACGTCTCCCACCTCGCTATTTGCGGTTCAGACCCATAAGTTTGAGCACCCCATAGCACCTTCGGACCCAGAAATCAACACTAAACAATGATCAACAATGGTTTCTTGATGTTTCTTGGAGGTGTTTATTGACTTTGTTTATAGATCCCAAAAATTACCCAAATGCTCTTGGCCCAAGTGCCACCAATCAACCTACAGTTCTAAGATGTGCATCAACCAGGTGGATACTGCCGGTCTTGATTTTTGGGGATGCAGGTTTCTCAATGCAGTATCCACCGTTTCTCATGTGGCGATGGGTCAACTCTCTGAGCGAGGAGCCCACCGTTGGTGCCAGGATATTCCTGTCGCTTCCAAGTTGCTGGGTCGTCAGCAGTCTGAACTCTCAGGAACTAAATTGAGGAATCAATCAGCAAGATTTTCAGATTTACACGTGGGAAGAAGTGTCAGCAAGTCACATCAATCTTGGGGCGAGGTTCTTGGTTCTCACCGCTGACCTGCCACTCCGGTGCGTAGTCTTGGCGGGACCAGGGAGCTTGTGACCTGCATCACCAGGTGTTTTTGAAGCGTGAGATGATTCGTAAGTCCAGTCCTACTTCGGTGGTTTTAGATACACCATTTCAATGCGAAATTTTCTGGAATATGGCCATCATATGAGAAAATTTGAAAAAAGCTTGGCTGTTCAACGAAAACACTCGACCCACTTGAGACCGGCCTAGCAAGCTCCGGCTGCCACACTTCCTTGGCCTGGCGAGGACTACGAGGATAATATGGCCCTTGATGTTCTCATCGCCCAAGCTACGACCTACACCGGTTCTCATGACCGGATACAGGCAGCCTGCGTTCGTTGCGCGGGCTGATCTCGTCTCCTGCATCCATCAACATGGCAGGAAGTTACGAATAGCAATAGGGTGCAATAGGCACATCAGTAGGCACATCATCCCCAAACATTAACATGAATTAACATGTAGAATCTTCATGAATCTTCCATCGAGTTCAACACAGATTTGGTGGCTCACCTTGGCGCTAGGGCATCCCAACGAGACCTGGGAATGATGGGATGGGAAGGTTGAGACCTAAAGGGTTATGGAGTTGTGCTATCTTTGGTGAAGCCTTCCATTTTGGGGGCAAAACATGGCAAAACAGATCCATATCCAGGTTCAGGCTGTTTTGAAACGTATTGTGGTACTGAATCATTTTTTGGCATTCTACTTTGAAAAGAACTGTTGGAAAAATTGTGGTGTCCGAATTTCATCACTGTTGCTCATCAACTGGTTGAAGATGCTTAAGGTATCTTAAGATCATTCGCTTCCGCTGGATGTTCCACTTCTACGGATTCTACCCTCAAATTAACGTGGAACCCAAGAGTCGCCATTCCACTGGTAGAATTGGCATCCAAACCGATGGAAGTGTTTCACATGGTGCAACCTGGAGCCTCTACCAAACATCCACAAAACCGACCAATCTACAAATGACTATGGATCAACATTGGTGTACTCATGCTGAATGTATTGAGATCCCTTTGCTCCCAATCTACACATAACATGAAAATTGCTTTACCCATGGGCTCACATTGTCACTTATAGGATCTGAAACCAATGATTCGGGATGATTCGGGCATACGTCAAACCCCCCGCTACCATGGTTTTGATTCCATCCAATTTTGTGGGGTCTCAAACCTTGACGCCACGGCCAAATCAAAACTTGGTCTCCAGGCGCATCAGCTGGCTGCACCTGAATCACATCATCGCTTGAGTGATTCCAATAGATTTCTGAAACAATCCATGTGGGTTTCTCCAAAAATGCTTATCCCGCGCTGTGATGCTGTGAGGATGCCATTGATTTCCCGAATTTCGGAGATCCCTCCGCCACCTGGGCAGACTTCACCGGCTCCGGCTGCTCCGGCTGCTCCACTGGGACCTCGGCGACCTCGGGGAGCTCCGGCACTTTGTCGTGGTCTGCTTCCTGCGACGGGTGGAGAAACCTGCGACTTGTGTGCTAAGAATCAAAAAGGCTTTGGAAATCATGGAATACGGCGCAATGAATAAAGGTGAATATAAGCGCAAGGAATCATGAATATACATTCTACATACACTACTGTATGTCTTGCAGTAATTTGGAAACAACAAAAGCTTGCAGGTATCATGTATCCCCAAAGGATGGGGAATGCCAACTGTTTTCCAAAGAAATACCAAGATTCTATGCAGGGAATGTGTGTATATATGTTTAGATATACATATAAGTAAAGCATTGTCACACATACATACATATATATGTATATATATATATGATATATGCATATAAATAGCTCAAGGAGCCAACATCCATTTCAAACGCTTGTACTCACTTGTCCATTTGTCGTCCAGGTGGGCCACAGGGTCAACAAATATGGTATATAGCTGAAGTACCACATTCGTCCGCAGCTAGCAGCTACCAGGCACCAGAAGGCTCATTGCCCCTTTTAAGCAGAGCTTGGATGAGTTGTTCCAATAAGTGGCATCGCCAGAGAAGTTGGCTGACCCCACTTCCCACTCTGCAAGCTCCATGTTTTTGTTTGGTGCAAAAAACATTGACGGCCTCGTGTCCCGCCAGCAGAGATTGAAGCCACTCATTTTCGGCCTCACTTTGTGCGCCACTGAAACAGATTGGGTGATGGTTCGACCCATCGCAGGGCACCAAAGCGTTCCAGGTATGCCATGTTGGACCCAAATGATCTGCACCTGCTGAGCCTTGTCTTTTCTGAGCTGGATCTTTTTCTCTCCATCCTCGGATTGTTTCCCCTTGGTTTTTGCCTTTGAGAAACAGGTAATGTGAGCCCTTTTCACCACCATTTTCAATTTGCCACAATGATGTTCGGAGTATAACTCACACAAACCGTTCTGCAATAACCCCCACATCTGCAAAGCTTGGAGTCGGATTTGCTGAGGTCCAAAAGGACTTCGTACTTGAGTTTGCAAGCAAGCTGGAACTGGCATTAGCAATCTAATCCCTGAAGTAAATACAAAAATCATGAACAAATTTGGGGTTTCCAGTGTTTGCATCGCTCTATTTAAAACCTCGAATTGTTCATTGCCATGATGAACAAGCAGCACGGAAATCCGCACCTCTTTCTGGCCATTCACAGCACCACCCACTACCTGCAATGACATGATAAGAGCCCACAGGACGACCGACGGATCTTGTTGCCTCTCAAAATGCTAGGCCAAGACCCACCTCATTTCCAGAACGCTTGAGGATCATCACGTGCGTTCCTGTACCTTCAGCAGGCTGTTTTGGGGACGTTGACAGAACAGGCATGATGAAACTGAAGGACCAACTGAGCACTTTTCCAACAATGGGGTATACCATATACCCTGAAATGCACATTGTAAGTCATTGTAAATGGGAAAGGACGATGAATTCAACCATTGGATTTGAGAATATGTTTGGTACTTTTACCGCTTACCCTATTTTCAGGCCAACCCATGAGGGACTTTTGTCTTCCAAGGACACGGCTCTCGAGGGCATTCAGCAGCAACGATAGCCAATCCTACCGTGCATATTCTGTCAAGCACTCGTGACGTTGTTGTTGGGATTGCCATAACCTAGTTGCCACAGAATCATGCATATTGTTCAGTCATGTTCAGTCAACAAACCTACACACCTCGCCTTGAGAGGAATCTCTTTTCTGCCAGTGAACATATTCAAACGCTGCCTCGGAGTCAAGTCACCGCCCTTGCAGCGTACATCGAAATGGCGAGATGTTAATTTTTCTGAATTCCCCGGTCTTCCCTGGTGAGCTTGTGGTTTTGTAAGAGGTTTCCTGCATTGAGACACACAATTCTTTGGCCTGTCAACAAGCCGCAAAGTATATCGGATGCTGCCGGGTCACGCGACCACGCCTTCGGACACCTGAAACCGAGGGTGGCAAGACCTACTCCAATCCGCTAGGCAAATGACCGGTTTCTTGAACAGCTTCCAAATGTGAGATTGCGTCAAATTCTAAGACCAAAAAAAAGACAGGGATTCTGGTCAGTGTAGGAGGTCCAGCAATTTTGAACCCCCGAATTTTGTAGAGTTACCTTCCAAAATTGGTCACGAAAATGCAAACAAAAAATCTTGGCTGGTCATGGACAGGTAGCCTCAACACGATAGCCTGGACCGTGCGCGAAATGGTGGATCCTGCACAACTTCCACTGCTGAATCTGTAGTTTGCTCAGCACTGGATCCAGTTTGAAAACTGGTAAAAATTGGTCCCCCCCAAACAGAACTTTGGGTTTCTGGGTATCCATCTGGTCTTATCATTGTGAGTGATTCCCATTTTTGTTGGTGAAATCCACCATGTGTCATCATCGATTCTTTAAATGTTGCCAAACACACACACACACATATATATATATATGTATTTATATAACAATGAAATATGTTTATAATTTATATATACAATGAAAACGTAAAAATCAAAAGTGCTTGAAAGGGACTACATCCCCAATCCTGGAGGTGGTCTCTATTCTACACTCATTGGCGCCCAAATTGGGCACAGAGACGTCATTGGCCTGGCATTGCATGCGCCGGCTCCCCGTCAAGAGGCTAGAGATAGGTACAGAATGGGAAAAATACTGGATAATGGAGATTACTGGGGTAAGATATAACATGGATTTGGGGGATATAGGTACCAGGTAGTGCCCGGCCCGTGTCGGGGCGGAAGTTTCGAACATTTTTCAACCAACTATGAAAAATCAATGGTTTATAGGAATATTTTGGAAATGCAGAAGCAATGAAATGTTGAAGTTTTGAGGTGCATCAACGCATGAGCAAATATTGGCTGAGATGCCAATGAAATGATTTGACCAATGAATCAATGAATCAATGAATCAATGAACGAATGGAGTCGATGAATCAGTGAGTCAATGAATCACTGAGCCAACAAAGCAATGAATTCGTGAATGAGTCAATGACTCTGTGAATCAATGTGTCAATGAATCTCTGCATGAGTGAATTAGCGAGTGGATGAATCAATGAAGCACTGAACTAGTGAATCAATGACGATTCAGTGAGTCGATGATTCAGTGAATCAAGGAACCAATGAATCCATGAATCAGTGATCAATGAAGCAAAGAGCGATGAATCAGCGAACCAATGATTCAATGAACCGATGAGCCAATGAATCCGTGAATCCATGAATATCAACAAATCAATTAGTGAACGCATGAATGGATGGATGGATGGATGGAATGGAGCAGAGCGGAGCGGAGTGGAGCGGAGTGGCCTGGAGTGGAGTGGAGTGGCGTGGCGTGGCGTGGCGTGGAGTGGAGTGGAGTGGAGTGAGTGAATGGGCGGGTAAGTGAGTGAGTGAGCTACTTCTTTGTTGATTTTTTTTCATTGAGGGACCTCGCTGAGGTACCTCTTTTGTCCGGGGCTGCTCCGAACGTGCTCTCGCTACAGTCTGGCGCACATTTTTCCGACCTCATCTTCCAAAAGTGCTCCACGCACCTCAATTTGTTCAACATTTTGACATGCCAATTGAGCTCTCGCTAAGAAGTCCTGCGCACAGTTTCTCGCAAACTTTGCCAGATCGAGCCACGAGCCCGCACCCTACTTCAGCGAGCCCCGGAGCCACATTTCCCAAAAAAACATGATGATGATGGTGTTGATGATGATGAAGATGATGAATGAATGAGGAATGAGGAATGATGAATGATGAATGATGAATGATGAATTATGATGATGATGATGATGATGAATGAATGAGGAATGAGGAATGAGGAATGATGAATGATGAATGATGAATGATGAATGATGATGATGATGATGGTGATGATGATGATGAGGAGGAGGAGGAGGAGGAGGATGAGGGTGATGATGATGATGATGATGATGGTGATGATGATGATGATGATGATGGATGATGAATGATGAATGATGAATGATAAATGATGAATGATGAACGATGAATGATGAATGATGAATGAATGATGAATGATGAATGATGCTGATGCTGATGCTGATGCTGATGATGATGATGATGACGATGACGATGACGATGACGATGATGATGATGATGGTGGTGATGGTGATGGTGATGATGATGATGATGATGATGATGATGATGATGATGACGATGACGATGACGATGACGATGACGATGACGATGACGATGATGATGATGATGATGATGATGATGATTATGATTATGATTATGATGTTGATGATGATGATGATGAGGATGATGATGATGATGGTGATGATGATGATGATGATTATAATGATGAGGAAGAGGTGATGTAATTGACATGATGGTGGGAATGCTCACTAACCATGACCATTGTCTGTAACACGGAAGTTTTGTAACCAGATGTCCTTTGATGATGATGGGAATAGTAATGGGTGACATGCAACTAACATGGAATATCACCGAAATCATCTGGAATTATAGTCACTGTTGCAATGGATCTCAGAGCACATCTTCTCTCTGACACATCTCTAGTCGATGGCAACAGGCTGTCCGAATGTGCATCCCAGGAATGGTAAGTGGGTAATAACCATAGTGTAGCCCATTTAGAAGCTTGCCAGGCTAGAGACAAACGTGGCTTGAGCGCTTTGTCTTTCTTTTTTGCCTGGAGCAGGGTGTGGCAGGCTGTCATTGAAAAAGGTGCAGCTTTCTGCAGCTGGCCCAAAACAGGGATGTTGAAATGTTACATTTAAACCTTGGGGAATCATCTCCGAGAACATCTAGAAACGCGGCCATTTCTAGATACCCTGAAAACAAACATGCTTTTGGCTGGCTTTTCTCATTCGCAGAGAACTACTTAGCAACGTAGTGATTAATCACCAGTGGGGTGATCAAGTACCAGTCGCCAAGGCCACCTGAGACAAATCAGTGCCATGCCCAGTGCCATGCCTTCTTCAGGTTTGCGGCTTCATCAGCATCTACACGGCTGACTACAGCGCAGTCCATCAGCTTTTTTGCGGCGTCCTGCCATGAATGCGGCAGTGCGGCCGTTTCGTGTACGGATAGTATTTGGATGCGCATCCCAAACAGTAAATCTGTGATTGGTGCCGAGTACGTAACATTGGGCACTGTGGACATTTGTCATTTCTAGTTACAGTTGATTAGAAGCTATCTAAACGTTGGTTGTTTTGGCCAGAAACCTGGTATGAATGTAACTAATGATGTGAATGTTTCTAGACGTCCTGCGAGTGTAGTAGTTTTGTCTGGTTACAGCTTGCAATTGAAACTCAAACTCAAGAACAAGTAGCTAAGGTTTCAACAGGAGGCTGCTCAATTAGAGAATGTTTTGATGCAAATGAAAGATTGTTGCAACAGGATGGAATTAGCTATAAATACTGCTAAAGAGTTTGAAAATATAGTCAAAAGTAAATGTTGCTTCCATCCCTTGTGTATGGGGGTCTTTGATGATCAAACTCAAGATTACAAAAGATGATATCCCAGCAACTTTTGTAGAAATGGTGAAGCCTGATATGTTGTATAAATGCCAAAAGGTGGTCAAGTAAAAGGGATCTAAAGTTTTGGTGAATCAAAACCGGCTGCAAAAATAAATATAGAAACTGGATAATTCAAGTATCAAGTCTATAAATAATCAATGATGATCAGTATACCAGAGCTAACAAAGACTTGTAAGATAGTGTTTTGGAACTTGTCCTTGATAAACATAATGTTGTTCAATTTGAAGCAAATGGATGTAAATAGTGTCTGAAATAATGCCATTCAACAAATAAAAACAAGTTCGAAATAAATATGAGCCAGCGAATATCATGCCTTTTAACTTTAAGATATTGGAGGATTTTCCAGATCATAGGGTAAATAATGTTTCAGGGGATATTGCCATCGCTTTCAGAAACAAAAAAAGTTCAACAACAGAATTCAACTTTAGACAATCCTGGGCGCATATTTATTTTTGTCCATGGCTTATACATCTATTGGGGTATGACCACTTAGATGATAAAGAAGGAAGACATGTAAATTTTGGAAATTGAATTCCTTTCCAAAACCAAAATGGATATATATATATATATATAAGCTATAGTTTGTACGAGAGAACTCATCAACGTCAGGAAACAAACCGTTCACAGAGTAGATCACATCATGTTTCCTTGATCTTTAGCTCTTCTAGCGGTGAGATTATCAATGCCTGATTTAGTACAGTAGTCTTTATCTGCTTCAAACGTTCCGCATACATTATTGACATGTTTATGACACATAGAGAACTATTTGTCAATTACACAATTACACTGTAGATACTACTGTGATTTAGTGCTAGTTTGGTCGCATCATGCAGTAAAACTACTAAAAACTTATCAAGGTACAAATGTAAGTGGTGTCAGATCTGAGTCTGTGGATATCCCTGGGACCTGGCACCCACCTGGTACCCTCTTGGCTCCCCGCCTTGAACCATGGAACCACCTGGGGAAATCGGATTCCTCATGAAAATTGCCATAAATGAAGGGTGGTTCTTTTTTTGGGGGTTCACGGCGAGTTCACGGTATATCTAATTCAAACCAAAAATCCTACAACCAGCAGCCGGGGTTTAAAGTGACTGACCCTCCACTGGGCTCTGCGCACCCGCGTCAACGGACTCTCTTCCACTTCAGCGCGAATGATGAAGCCGCGCTGTTTGCCTGACGCTGAATTTAGTATTGCTACTTGGATGTGTATCCCAGTAAGCAAGTGGTTAATAATCCATACGTAACGTACAATATATATATATCTATTAGGGGATGTTCCATACACAACTGGGCTGTGTATATGTGATTTATGTATGTATTCCAGTCACTTTGAAGACGGGGACAGAAATCTTACTCAGTTGGATGAATATCACCCAGATATCCTGTTTGAATCATGGGGGGTTATCCTTGGGGGTCACCTTTGAAATTTGAAGAAAACAAAACGTGGCAAAAATCTATGGTTGACTTCCTCATCTTCCTCTTTTGCCACTGTCACACATCTTCATATCCCTTCATGAAAAAGGGGTATACCCCCAGTCATGGCTACTTTAACAGGCAACATGATGATTTACCACTGGATTTGGAAGGTTTTCCCCTTAATTTTCATACCCAAATTCTCCACCTGCTTGCTTGTCCTTGCTCCGCTTTGACCGAGTCCCAGCCGCTTGGTCCTCGGGCCAGACCACAGGGTATGGCTCCACAGAGCTCAAGATTTGATAGTCCAAAAATGGATGTTTACATGGTGTATCTATACATACATTACATTGCACTTGCATCTACATTTACAATCAGTTACATTGAATTTTTACGTGAACATTTACATATTTTTACAAATTACTCCATCTGTGTCCAGAAGCCCATTACTCCACATTCCACATCCTGCCAACCTTTCAAGGCATCCCGGCATCTTCGCAGATGGCCTCTTGGTACACAGCTTTCTTGGAAGAGACGGCCAGATACCTGCAATACTACGTAGGTGGGTACGTGGGGAGGTAGGTAGGTGTGGGTGGAATACCCGCTATAAAAGGGACATGTTAGCAGCTGCTAGCATCCCAAACCTTTTGGATCTAAGCAACAAAGGTTGCTGGAGGATGTTGGATGATTCGGATAAATTCGGATGTTTAGACTGGTTAGACTGAGTAATCCCATGCCCCTACCATATGAAATCATTCCCTCACAAAGCACCCAAAAATAGACAGGTCCGATATATTTCATCAGGGTTTCAATGGGAAAATTCAAAATCTTCGGCAAGTGATTAGTTGAGATGCAGCTCAGATATTTGCAAAGGTTATGAGATTCGAAAATAAGCCTAGGCGCTATTCCCCCAACAGCAAAAGTATGTGTGTCTTGCCAGCAAAACTGCATCTTGATCCCAGATTCATGTGGATATGCCGAATGCCATAATATGCATTTAAACTAAGCCTGCAAGTGAAAGTTGCATGGTGGGATACGCCAAAAATGAGGAAACCAACTATGTCAGCTATGTGTGATCCTAGAGTAAACCATTAACTTTTCTCAACCTGTTCCCCCGAGCACGTCAGCTGCTCCAAGGGCAGTTGCTTGTCCTTGCTGTCCGGCATTCGTGCAAGAATCCAGCATTATGAATGTGTTTTTGAGACGTTCATATGCCTGTGGATCAAATTCTGGTACCTTGGTTTTCACATCCAAATAAAGACGGTTTTCATCCGTGTCCCAAAAGGAAAAAAAAATGACCCATCACTATATTCGCAACAACTACGGAAACTATTGGAGCAAGTGAGACACAATTTCGCACGCCGTCAGTAAAAAAGAATATCCCCCATTTTGAGACAAAGTCAAAACTAAACGAAGCTGGGGCAAGGACCGACACGACGACGGTGAAAACCTGCAGGACTGGAAAAAATGACCCATCAGGCATCAGGCTGAAAAATGAATTGCAACCACCGGAGTTTCGTATCCGGAAGTAATTCATGCAATTAGTCAACGACAACAACAACAACAACAACATCATCATCATAATTATCACCATCAATATTAGGAGCAAAAACAACAACAACAACAGCAACAACAACAACAACAACACCAGCAACAGCAACAGCAACAGCAGCAGCAGCAACAACAACAACAACAAAAGAAACAACAACAGCACCAGCCAACAACATCAACATCAGCATCATCATTATTTACCGTCATCATCATCATCATCATCATCATCATCACCATCATCATCATCCATCATCATCAACAACAACACCAACATCGTCATCATCATCATCATCGCCATCATCCATCATCACCATCATCGTCATCATCATCATCACCACCATCATCACCATCATCATCATCATCATCATCATCATCGCCATCATCCATCATCATCATCGTCGTCATCATCATCATCGTCATCATCATCATCACCACCATCATCACCATCCTCACCATCATCATCATCATCATTCACATCATCACCATCATCATCACCACCATCATCATCATCATCATCAACACCAAAATCACCATCATCATCATCATCATCATCATCAACACCAACATCATCGTCACCAACAACATCATCATCATCATCACCATCATCATCATCATGATGATCATCATCATCATCACCATCATCACCATCATCATCATCATCATATTTCGTCATCATCAACAACAACAACATCATCATCATCATCACCATCACCATCATCATCATCATCATCATCATCATCATCATCATCGCCATCATCCATCATCATCATCGTCATCATCATCACCACCATCATCACCATCATCATCATCATCACCATCATCATCATCGCCATCATCCATCATCATCATCATCGTCATCATCATCATCACCATCATCACCATCATCATCATCATCAGCATCATCGCCATCATCATCATCAACGCTACCGCGGAATGTTTGGTCTTAGGTCAGGACTGTGGAGTCGCGGTTGATCCAAGTACGAGCCCCATCCTTCGTCGTCGGTAGGGTCTATGGCTATACTCCAAAAAGTAATATATAATATATATATAATATATATAGTATATAGTATATAGTATATAGTATATAGTATATATTATATAGTATATAGTATATAGTATATAGTATATAGTGTATAGTGTATAGTGTATAGTCTATAGTGTATAGTGTATAGTGTATAGTGTATAGTGTATAGTATATAGTATATAGTATATAGTATATAGTATATAGTACATAGTACATAGTAGATAGTATATACATATTATGTGTATGTATATTTATATATATATCCGGTTTGGGTTGTTATCCATATGGTTCCTTCTCCAGTTAACGCTCAGAGGTGGTTGGGGGGTTAGAATCTAAAGCACACTACAATGCCTGCCTAGCTGATCTATATTCTATAATATTGCATATGAATCCATATATGATGTATTGTGAACTGCTCCAGTCCGTGACCCAATGAGTTGGTGTTCCAAAAGTCAAGTATCTCATGTGACGAAACCTGAAATTCGAACCCAAAAAAGTCTGAAACCAGCAACCAAAACTTGTGCCAAACACCTGCCTCGTCCACATACCAGCTCATCCTGTCACACAAACAGATGTTGCTACTTCCAAACAGCTGTGTACATACTGCTTTCGTTGTAAAAGCTGTAGCAACTGTAGCAAGTACATCTTCTCAAGTAGAAAGAAGTTTGCACTTTGACCAAATCGGGTAGGTCTCTGAAAAATATTCAGTTGCCCCATATCCACCCTATCTACCCTCACACATATGACCGCTTTGCTCAGCTGAACGCCTGCAAACGGTTGCGACTTCTATTGCGGACGCTATGAGCAGCTGGACAGATTTCAAATCCAGTACGCTGAAGTATATAAACAGTATGGGTGGGGTTGAGGTCAGAAGCCAGCGAAAGGCTCCTCCAATTCTAGGTCGTGCCCAGCTTGCTGCGAATATTTCCTTGCTCAAAGTCTTGGGAAACACCTATTCTCTTGAAAATCAGTCATTTTCCCAAGTTTGTCAACTGTGACCTACTGTCTGCAACATGCAAATGGTGTCTTGCAGCTTTCAGGGACTGAAGCAACTGCGCGGTTTCAGCCAGGCGTGGCGAAGCAATGCATTCACGAAAGATATCCTCTGCATCGTAGGAGTCAGTGCAAGTCACTGGTTGATTAGTAGTTTAGACAGGTGGATTCGAATCCCAATGACCCCCGATAAAGTAGGATTATCACTATGGCATATCCCTAGGATTCCAAACTACAGACCCAAACCTCTCTTCCGTTGGCTGGCTTTTTCTGATGCTCAAAAATTGGATCTGAGCGGCTCTGGAATAAAGTCCATGACAGAAAGAGCGGCGCTACGACGCGCATCCTCTCTCTGACACGGGGAAATTAAATCATCTGCCCCTTCACCTGGTACTCTGCCCGCTTCGAACAGATCCCAGCAGGGAAAGCCGTCTTGAAAAACTACGACTCCCTGAGAAGCAAATCAATGCTTAGTGATTCTGCAAGCTGCAGAACACTGATTTCTGCTTGAGATCGGCTTGTGCTTTACATTCTAGAAAGAGATCAACAGGGCGTTGAAGAAAATGATCAAGGAATTTGTTTGAATCAAGATGAAGTGTTGGAGAAAACATAACACTTAAAAACGCTCGAGCCCTGCAGCCTCACTTCTGCGGTGCATGGGAGGTTCTTTCGCTTTTCCCCCAAACCTGAGACTCACCATGACTCACCCAGCTTTGGTGACTCGAACCCCGCCGAGGTACAGTGGGTCTTTCAACACCATCGAGTCGCATCAGCATGCACCTGGCTCTGGCGGACACTTTCCCTGACTCTTTTTTGAATCAATGAATCACACAACACACAACCAAGACATACCAAGACGTTTTAAAAAATCACTGACACAGCTCTGGAAAAAAAAATAAACATGTTCCTGGTGCCTTCAAAACATGGCATCATTTTTGGTGTATTTGCAAAACCAAACTCACAAAAAAAAAAAACACCGAAATAGACCCCAAAAGGCAAAAGCTCATGTCACCCTGATTCTATGAGAAGAATGTGCCATGGTTTCCAATGGTTTCCATGTGCCTCTCAAGGCTCTGCTGCAGTTGATCGATCTTCTCCGTTGCACTCATGTTGGAAAACCAAACCTGCGCGAAGTTCAACTCCCAATACTCACCGAAACAAGAAGTTCTTATCCTGGCAACTAGACAGAGAGTGTGAAAAGTGTTCACGGCGTTGACAGTTTCGTTTCTTGTCAAAGGGCAGCTTTCATGACGTCCTCGATACGCACGTGTGGCGTTCGCTTGTGCGCCAATTTATCCACCAGCCGTACTCCTGTGACCAAGTCAGCATTCCTTGGTGAAGGCAAAAATCTAGCGCTCAATGAGCAAGTTTGTGGATCCATCGCTACCTCATGTTCGATCCAAACCCAAACTGTCTTTGGGGGCTGCCCGTCATTGTTTACAAAGTTGAAGTAGCAAATCGTGAAACAGGAAATGTTGACATGTAATCAGCTATGGTCCGATGAATGGCATTTTAGGCTGCATGCTGAAGCTGATACCAAGTGGCGCAACTGACCCTCCAATCAAGCACAGGACCGTGTTATTCCAAATCCTTGGCAGGTTCTGTGCTGATACTGTGTCAAGAACCTACGCATCGTTTTGGTAATGTTCAGTACTAAACTAATCCCTTCCTCCTAATACTAAACGTCCCCCTAATACTAGAAACAGACGTCCATCTCCAGTTTCGGAAAATTTCAGTTTGGCCAATTTGATTTTTGCTCCCCTTTAGAAAACAAATTAAAAATCAACCTATCATTTGTGGGTTTTCCCCCCTAACACTAAAAACTAATCAACCCCGGGGTGTTTAGTATTAGGGGGCGTCCGATTTTTTTTAGTTTTTTATATTAAGGTTTTTAATTTAGTATTAGGGGGAAGCTTCGAAATCCAATTTTTGGCAATATTTTAATCGCGTTATATTTTTAAAAAAATAATTGATTTGAGATCGGAAAAAATAGTTTTTATTATTAAGGGTTTTAATTCAATATTAGGGGGAAGCTTCGAAATCCAATTTTTGGCAATATTTTTATTGCGTTATATAAAGAAATTTAATTGATTTTGAGATCGGAAAAAATAGTTTTTATTATTAAGGGTTTTAATTTGATATTAGGGGGAAGCTTCGAAATCCAATTTTTGGCAATATTTTTATTGCGTTATATAAAGAAATTTAATTGATTTTGAGATCGGAAAAAATAGTTTTTATTTTTAAGGGTTTTAAATTAATATTAGGGGGAAGCTTCGAAATCCAATTTTTGGCAATATTTTAATTGCGTTATATAAAGAAATTTAATTGATTTTGAGATCGGAAAAAATAGTTTTTATTATTAAGGGTTTTAATTTAATATTAGGGGGAAGCTTCGAAGTCCAATTTTTGGCAATATTTTAATCGCATTACATAAAGAAATTTAATTGATTTTGAGATGGGAAAAAATAGTTTTTATTATTAAGGGTTATAATTTAATATTAGGGGGAAGCCTCGAAGTCCAATTTTTGGCAATATTTTAATCGCGTTATATCAAGAAATCTAGTTGATTTTGAGATCGGAAAAAATAGTTTTTATTATTAAGGGTTTTAATTTAATATTAGGGGGAAGCTTCGAAATCCAATTTTTGGCAATATTTTAATCGCGTTACATAAAGAAATTTAATTGATTTTGAGATCGGAAAAAATAGTTTTTATTATTAAGGGTGTTAATTTAATATTAGGGGGAAGCTTCGAAATCCAATTTTTGGCAATATTTTAATTGCGTTATATAAAAAAAATAATTGATTTGAGATCGGAAAAAAAAGTTTTTATTATTAAGGGTTTTAATTCAATATTAGGGGGAAGCTTCGAAGTCCAATTTTTGGCAATATTTTAATCGCGTTGTATAAAAAAAAAAATAATTGATTTTGAGATCGGAAAAAATAGTTTTTATTATTAAGGGTTTTAATTTAATATTAGGGGGAAGCTTCGAAGTCCAATTTTTGGCAATATTTTAATCGCGTTATATAAAGAAATTTAATTGATTTTGAGATCGGAAAAAATAGTTTTTATTATTAAGGGTTTAACTTTATCAATAGGGTTCCCTAATACTAAATACCCCCCTAATACTAAAAACTACCTGCCGTGTTTAGTAGGGGGGGGCGTTTAGTATTAGGAGGAAGGGATTATACAGTATCCACTTGCAGTTGGGAAATCCGCTTTTCTGCTGATATCCTCATCTTGATTGGTTCACCGTGAAAACCCACATCTTCAGTCTTTACATTCGGCTGAGGCGAGAGCTCGTCAATCAAACCTCCACCCAGCGATGCCTGGGTCACCGCCAGGTCGGATGAAACCAACGCAAAATCAAGCGGCAAATTGCTGGAACACCCCTGTCTGTGTGAAAACATATATCACTCACATCCATCAATCCCCGCCATGATATTTACCAGGGAATTCCAAGCGGATTCTGCACCTTCAACTGGTAGGTGAAGTGGCCACCCTTGGAATTCACGGCATCCTCCCACTCCGGACGGATACCATCTTTGAAGAGCATCAGGGCCTCGGTACATGGTGCGTAATTTTTGGACACCTTCGCCGCAAAGTCGAGCACAAAAAACTGGGTCCCAAAATATCCAAAATGGATATATATATATATATATATATACATACCAATTCATCATCATATTCCATCATATTCCCCTTAGCAGCCTTAGCAGTTGCCATTTTGGCGGGATGCTCCATTTTCAAACACACTGCAGTGAACACTCTTGGGTTGAAACGTCGACAACAAGTCGGCCATCATCCTTGATTCGTAGGAACTTTTTGCCCTCCAGCAGCAGGCTGGGTTGGGGCATGTGGTTCCAATACCTGACAGCAGCCACAGCAGCCTCCCAGGCCCAATCTGCAGAAACAGTGGCTGGGTGAAGCCTCCAAAACGCCTTGATGGTGTCCAGGGTGGCCACTTTTTGGGTAGCTTGGGAGTACCTGGACAACTCGACAGCACGGTTCCCTCTTAGATTCAACGAGGCTGTTTTCTAACGAGGTTTTGTTTGGTTTACCCTAATGAAATGGACGAAATGGACCATCGAGACGATGGAGTTTAGGATACGAACCAATGAAAAAATGCGACTGGTCGTGGGCGCACTGAGAGCTGTCACGCTGGGCAGAAAGCCCTAGCTGTTCCTGAGCCGTGCAGACTGCACCAAAAATGTCTGTGGGGTTCCTGGAAATATCCAAATCCAATGCAACCTTGTTAAACTGCATATTTAGTTAGCAGGCAAAACTGGTAAATGAAATTTGTCAAAAGTTCATCTCTTCACTTTTGATGTTCCCTTTCCGCGCGGAATCCAGATATGTTTTTCACGATGGTCGGTTTCTGCACCCAACGTCCTGAGAGCCCTGGCCCAAAGCACCCACTTGCTATCAAGGGCTGGGTCCTTCCATCATTGAGCAATCATAGATAATCATAGTGAATTCGCCATGAAATGGGTCTTCAAAATGAATAAATCCAAGACTTGCCACCAGTGTCACTATTTTTTCAATATCAGCGAGAGGGTCACCCATTTCCGAATGTTCCAAAATTTTTGTGATGTGGCAATGTGAACCAGTGAAAATGTGTCATTTTGGCAATTTCCACCTGCTCAGCATTGCCGGTGCAATCGTTCGACCTGCAATGTTTTGAACCCACACAAAAAAACAACAACAACAAACGAGAAAGATGTCACTCCCAAACAACCCCAAATTTCCAACAACGCCTGAGGATTGGACTCTAAAAATGCATCAATCTGCGGTGAGCAAGCAGCGTTAAAACTCAGGAAAGGCCTCAACAAACATCTAAATCCGACCATTGTGGATTTGGTCTTGTCATTTTTTTGATCATTTGCAACAACAGAAAACTGTTCATTGAAAAATATACGTTGAGAATTCGGCACCGACTCTTCAACCATCGCCATACCTGCCAGCTGCAATCCAAACAACCCTTTGTTTAAAATAAATTGATGAAATCATACTTTCAAAAATGCATTATGAAACTCCCAATGTTGGCAGGCTGGCAGTAGTTTGTTTGGCAAGTACAATGCGCTTTGAACCGCATTTTGACCATATGACAATTTTCACAGGCATTCCAAACAAATTTATTTCAGTGGATTCCACTGTGTTTTTCATGTGGAATTTCGGATTCGAATCCATCCTATAACTATTTTCCTTGCCTGCAAAAACCAGGCAGTTTCCAGCGTGCCCACCCAGCTACCAGTTTGCTTCGAAAAAATGAGCAAATGTTGGCATGGACGCGATGTTTTCGAATCCCTTTGGGTCATTTATCAACGATTTGGTGAACCATGGATGCCAATTGCAGGGGGGGCATTGCGGGCGCATTTGGCAAAAGTCGGGCAACTCGGATTTGATTTGCTTTGCGTGACGGAAATCGTTTCAAAAACATGTTTGTGTCAAGCAACAGTTGTTGTTCGTTTGGGGACATTCCTTATAAGTTGCAAGGTGGAATGTGTATCGATCAAATGCAACAATACATTGCACAAGGAGGAAATACTAAAACTGGATATGCAAAAAAAATCGCCCAACCCAATCTGAATTTCAACACAATGTTGCAAAGACTCAGGCGAAAACGCTGCAGTCTATTTTCACTCGTGCCAAAAAGGGTCTCACAAGTTTCAACTGCACATGCTGTTCATGTCAGTCTATGAAGTGAAATGACAAATGCAACTCTCTTATCGATTTGTGCGTGTCATCCTGGCACATGTGAGTGGGCTCCACAACTTTCCACACTCCTCCTTTGTGGTTTGAGCGTGGCTCATTCCACAACTCCAAAATTTTCACCTCTCAACGCAAATTTCAGCTCTGCTGTCTGACTCTGCATCATCCAGTGAAAATGTTTTCGAATTCAATCTTTCAAATCATCAAGCTCTGCATGTCTTCGACATAGAGCCTAAACCTGTCTCGGCGTTCATCATCTCCTGAGTGGAATCTAGCACCAGACAAATTGCCTGCTGAATCATGTTGGCCTCATGCCAGCGTTCTGCTGCAAGAGCTTGGTTCTGATCTACCCTCATGTTCTGTAAGAGGGTTTCCATTCCAGTAGGTCTATTGGATTGGTTGTCCTCCACATCTGTTGTCGGACTTTCTTCTTCTCCTCCTTCGTGATCTTCTTGCTGATGTACAATTGGGTCAGTTGAATCTGCACGGTTTCTATGATTCCAAAGCACCAGGTGTCCTCTTTCTTGCGTTAGCATGTGTCGATACTGCTCGGCTGTCAGTTTAGCGTTCCTGACAAAACCACCTATCTCCATCAGTCCATACCTCACGCAATTTGAGGTTTCCTCCAGAGCATTGAAACCTTCTATAGTTTCCTGTTCAAAACCAGTCGGTCTAGCCATCACCGTGTCAATTCTGTTTGACGCATCTGTTGCCAAAGCGTTGCAATCTTCTATTCTTCCATTCAAATCAGCTGCATACTCATAGTGATCGGCTAACTGAATCTGGGTTTGTTCCAACTCGTTTGAAACTCCCAGCACTTGGTTCTCCAGTTTCTTGATTTTCTCTTCAATCCACTTCCATGCTCTGAATGCCAGCTTTGAAAACACAGTACCCATGCAAATCACCAAAACCGCAATTGCAAATGAAAACCATGATGTGTCCTTGGTCTCATTGTCCATGTTTGCGCAACTTGACTGCGCCATTGCCGCAACCGGTCCTGCTGACTCAAGACCCCCAGCAACTCCCATGGCAATACTCATGCGTAAAATGGCTTTGGAAATTCTTTTCAATGGTTGGGAATTCAATCTCCTCTCATCTTGAATTGCATGCTCATTTGCTCCAACCTTTGAAAAGTCTGCAATGAAAACCAGTTCACATTCATACAACAAATAGAACAACCTCTGTCTGCTCAAAGCTTTTGTCCCGATGTCTGCCACGTTGAGAGTAGTTGGAACCTGTCGAAGTTTGAAGGTATTGTCAGCTGTCTTCTCCTGTATCCATAACAGTTTTCCCGACAGATGCCTCACCTTACCTGACCCTTGCCTGCTTGCCAATTGCCTTGCTGAGCTTGAGTCGGTAAACTGAAAATGTTCCAACTGTTCATCCAAAACAAAAGCAGCACATGCCTTGATGAATATCCCATCGCAAACGCAGCTAACCAAACTATGAAGTTCACTTTCACATGAGCTAAGTGATACAACTCGTTGACTTCGGCTGCTTGAATACATGAAACATCCATTGATGAAATGTATCCCACATGATGTTGAGCGACGTGTCTGCTTGTTTGCACTCCAATCGGCATCGCTGAAGCTCTCAAGTACCCATCGGTGTTGTCCACCAGAAATAACCTTTCCTTGACCATCTTCAGGAAATGGCAGGTGCAAACCAATGTCCCCCACAGATTTCATGAAGCCTACCATCTTGCGTAGGCGTGCAAGTGAAGTCAAAGTGGGAGCACTCATGTATGACGCCAGCTCCTTTATGGTATACATCAAATCTGGCCTTTCACGGCCTGCATACAGACATAGGCCCACAACTGAGCGGTATCCCTTGGAGTCTTTCTCTGAAAGTCTTTGAGAATTGTCAGGCAACTGGATACTTGCATCGCATGGCACTTTCTGTGATCGTGCCGATCCAAACATCCACTCAAACAAAGAAACCACTTTGTCCACAGTTGTACCCGGGGCTAAAACTAGGCCATCTTCAACCTCCATAATTTTCCTCCTCAAGAAGGTGATGCTTGATCCTGGGCCTTTCAGCTCATCATGACTCACTGAAAATCTCTCTTTCATCTTCTTCAGAAAAACGTTGTTCCAGAAAGATTTCAATCCCACAAAAAGGATATCATCGACATGTATCATGATCGTGGCCTCAGGTGTCCTCGCCAAGCATGGTTGCTCCGGGCAAAACTCAAAATTCATGCTTTCCATCAAGAATGATTTCAAACACAAAAACCACTGTTTTGCTCCAAGACGTTGGCCTGGGAGATTTCTCTTTATGATAAAAGGCTGTCCCTGCAAAACCACACGCACCGGATCATCTTGTTCAACCTGCAGAAAGGCATCACGCACATCCAAGCTTCCCATAAAAACATCGTAATCCTCCTTGCATGCTGTTTCACAAATCTTGCTTTTCATTCCAAGATATTTTAACTGCAGAAGGTTTGCTGTATGGGTTCCAGTGGCAGGACTGAAAGTGTCCAATCTTTTCGTTGTTGCAAATTCACGCGCCACCAGTCTGGATCTGCGCATCCATCTTTTCCTTTCACCTTCACCTTCTCCATAAGACTTCAAACGCCAATCCCTGACCATCTTTGTAGTCAAAGAACCTGTGATTTCGCCTTGGAACTCGGATTGTGGCACCAAGACTTGCATGCTGCACAAACGGTCAATCTCCACCTTATCTGCAAGGTCATCAATCCATTTTTCTGGACTACCAGGCGCGGGTTGATCTACTGGAGCGTCTGACCACAAATACTCTGGAATTCCAGTCAGCACAACCGCATCTTCACCAACCCAGTCTTCATCCTCTTCAGCTGATTGTTCAAGATTCAAATCTGTCTCATAATCATCCATAGTGAAGTACTCTTTGTAGGCAATCTTGACAGCACACAATCTCTGCTCGTATTCAGCTTGTAACCTGGCAATGCGCTGTCTCTTTGATTCATCCAAACGTTGCCTCTTTGAAGAGTCCTCATCTGAGGGTTCTGCTGCTCGAGATGTTGCTGGCTCTCGAGGGCTTTCAATCTCTATATAGTCCCTGGGCGGTGTCACCGGCACTGCAAGACCTGGATATCCTGACATATCATCTCCAGTATTGGTCAAAGGTGGATTCTCTGCTGTCACATGGATTGGTCCACTAGGTAATGCAGGACCATCATCATCCACAACCTGCATACCTTCCAGTTCACCTGCAACTCCCTCACCAAGTTTCTCTCGCAAAGCCAAACTGAGTGGGTCATTGGCTGACATGTGCAACTGCTCCTCCTGCGCTTTCTGTTCATCAATTGCATATTGAATCACTGCTTCAGCATCTTTGTCGTGCAATGCACTTTCTTCAATTGGTCCCAGAGGCACCTCAAACGCAACTGACTTCGGCACTGGTTTTCTCATAGTTGGCAAGATTCTTGCTCCAAACCCAGCTTTGTACTGCCATGAAAAACACCGACAATGCAAATAATACGCCATGTGACTTCTCCATTCAGTGTTGATTCTGCGCACGCTTCTCGTAAGGAGAATTGATTGTCCATCAAATGCCACATAGCTGTTTTGAATGTCAGCTTTCCCAAGAAATAACATCCTCTTCCATTTGGCAGTCGCTTTTGTGGTTGGAATCACATAGCCAAAAATTGGCTCCCCAAACTCGCACAACTCACCAGCATATGTACGACCAAAAGCCAGTTCATAAGGTGTGGCACCTCTGATAACTGAAAACCTTGAAATAAGCCATGCTGAATGTCTCAGGGCCCAACTCCAAATTGCGCTCGATGTCTCCAGCTGAATTCCAAGTCTTCCATGAACATGGTGCATCAACGTACATGCCAAAGCTCTGACTCTGCCAACAGCATTCTCTGCAAGGCTGTTGCCACCTTTGTCATATGCCACAGAGCTACTTTCACGTGTCTTAAGGCCCATGCCTTGACGTGTCTTCAGCACCAAGCGCTTCAATTGCAGTATTGAAGGTTCATTGTCGCAATGCAAAATCACTTCTGAATGCCCTAACATTTGCACAAACTTGATGATCTCCCTGTTTGCATGATCCAGCTGAGATTTCCCTTCCAAAGGGATGCATGACACAAATCCTGTACGGCTGTCCACCACTACCAGTGCAGTTATTGTATCGGGATTGCCTGAATCACCAGCCTGACCATCAGATTTTGTGAAGAAGTAGTCAAAGGATATGGTGGGCACTGCTCCTGCATGCGACTCACCTGAACGTTCATGCCGATCAGAACGTGCCCTGTGCGCAAGACATGAAGGGCACCACTGCTTGTATGGCACATGTGTCAACCTATGTTGTGACTGCTCATACTCACTAGGCACTTCTGCAGAAACTGGTGAAAGTGGATGTCGTTCCTGCTGTTCAAATGCCTCTTTTGCTGCCGCCATCACTGATTCCAACTCAAGTTTCTTTGAATGTTCAATCAAACATTTGAAACACTTCTGCTTTTACCCTGAGCTTGAAATCCCATAGAATGAGCACCCAGCTCGTAGCGTAGCTAGCGAACTGGATTCCCTGAGAACAGTTCCATTTACGCAAA